TGGAAAAACTTTGTCATGACTCCAGAGGTTACATTTCTTTTAGCCAGAATATCCTTGAAATTGGTCAGAACGGTTGTTTTATGTTTTCTAGCTCAGGTTTGAATATTGGTCATCTGAGCTCAAAAATATGACACTGCTCATAAAAAGGCAGATATGGAAAAACCTTATAAACATTTGCACAATTTCAGGTGCAGATATGAATGTTATGATATCAGTAAAAATTTATTGCTTTATATCTGCATTTCATTCATTGCTAATTCATTTAAATAATTTATTCAGAGCCTTAATAATCAGGTGAGCGATAAAAGGGCAATCATGGTCCTCTTGTTTATTTAGACACAACAGTCTTTATAATGTCAGGGCCTTCATGTAGTCTATAAAACTCAAATTGACCTCGACTCATGTATGACTTTGACCTAGAAGGTCAAATTATTGAATTATCACTAATTATTTCTATAATTTGCTATACCTTGGTAATCAATCAATAGATTATATTCATAGGGAACGGCGTTTCTTTTTTTAAACATTTTTAACTTTTAAAGATGGGTAAGCAGACATTTTGATACCATATACGCCATGGAGCAACAGGAGAAAAAAGGAATCATAGAATGGGTAGGTACAATATTATTATTCATATTTAGTAAGTTGGCTTATTTTCCGTCTGTTTTGTTTGTTTGTTTGTTTGTTTGTTTGGCTTTTACACATAGTTCAACAAAGGGTTTGTCCTATATTGGCGGTCAGTCCACCTAAAATAATTTTTTGATAAAAATACCATTATCAATTCTTTTGCTTGTACTCTACTGTTTATAAAATGGTTTATGGTTTAAAAATTTGGGTTTGAATTTGTCTAAATTGGGGGTATGGTAAAATAGAAAGATTGAACGAGTCCAATTAAAATTTCTAAAGTATGTTTTAAATATGAAACGATCCGCCCCAAATTATATGGTGAACGGATAAACAGGCTGCCTGTCGCTATCTATTGATATATAATCAAAGAACATGTACCTCTTGTAACAATAAATTAGACGTAGAATTTCATTACTTATTTGGAATGTGTTTTGCTTAATGATGAAAGAAAGAAATTTTTGAAACATTATTATTACAGACGCGCAAATAAATTCCAGCCAGAGCAACTAATTAACACAGAAAACATGAGCGAATATTTGAAATTATGTAAATTTGTTAATACAATTATTTTAAGATAATTAAATTAGTATTCCCCTCTTATTTGATTACTTACATTCCAAGAATTACTTACATACCAAGACTATAAAACGAATATTTCATTTTTTTATTACCCATAATAAGGTGATTGTTTATTTTTCATTTAGCTTTTAAGTATGAGTCTATAAATGTCATTGTAATGGTTTAAAATATTTAGTCGTACTTAATTGTACATCACTTGTCAGTTGTTTATATAATTATTTCTTTTTTCTTTTTATTGTAATCATTCTCATCGTGTGTCGATGAATAAAAAGATAGGTGTTATAAAACGAAATCATACCCTAAGAGAGTGTCTAAATTACGCGACTCTCCACGGTTTTCTGTGGTAACATATTAACTAAGAAATTTAACAAATGTTTGTTTTGATAAATTGTTAATTGAACTGTAGTTACAAATTATTATTATGTAGTAGCAAATGATATGAACAAATACTCTTTTATCCCCCGCCGAAAAGGGCGGGGTATATAAATTATTTCCCTCCGTCCCGTCTGTCCGTCCCGTCCAACCTTCGTTCGCCGTAAAAAACCAGAGCTTTTATGGGGTTTGGGTCCTATTGTTCACATAACAAAGATGTCCTTTGCATGGTCATTCATTCCTTTTCTCTTGTGGGGCTATTTTACTGCATTGTGGGGTTTATAAAGAAAAAAAGAAATAACAAAATGAAAACCCCATAAGTTGCTCTTGTAAGAAGTCCGTCCTTCCGTCCCGACTTTTTTGTCCGGATCATATTCAAAAAGTATTGAGAAATCAATTTAAAAACTTCATAGTTTGCGGTAGACCTATTGAGGAGGGAGTGCAGTGCACAAAGATGATAAACCTACCCGCATATTTTTTTGAGTTATTGCCCTTTGTTATTTTTAAAAAATTAATTTTTTTGTCCAGAGCATAACTCAAAAAGTCTATGAAAGAATATCAACATAGAAACTTTATAGGTGCATAGATCTCACTCAGGAGGTGTGCAGTGCACAAGAATGATAAACTATGCTTAGTATTTTTCATACCTAATAATTTTTCACCTGAGGGAGCATAACTCAAAAACTGTTTGAGATTTAAAACTTGAAATGTCATAGGTTGATAGATCTTATTGAGGAGGAATGTTGTGCACAAGAATAAATAATATCTCCCTATATAATTTTTGATTTGAGTTATTCTCCTTTTTTTGTTCAACTATTTTGTCCCGGGAGCTTATCTCAAAAAGTAATTTGAGGTAGCAACTTGAAACTTCATAGGTAGATAGATTTTACTTGAGGAAGGGTGCAGCACACAAGAATGACAACCTATCCCCTGCATTATTTTCAGTTTATTGCCCTTTTTATTTTCCAGCCATCAGTATTCCACATTAGTTTTTTCAAATCTGAATCAATTCAGCCTCAGTTTTCATTCCCAAAAACCCTCTTAAAGGGAATTTTTGCCTCCTTACTAATTACATTTTTAAAGGGCAAACAATTCGTGGGGGATGGCCATTTTGACATGGCTCTTGTTCACTTTATTTTATCACAAAAATTTATATACATTGTACATATTTTAAAAGGGCCCCCTTCTAACTTTACATTTAAATTTTTATTAAACAATTTATTCATTTTTAACATAAAAGTATGTAAAAAAGGGAAAATTTTGACTGTCAAAACCCAACATTAGTTTTTTTTTTTATTCAGAAAAATAAAAATGTAAATATGACAAAAATTGGGTATATGCATTTTTATTTAAATCATTATACAATAAGTTAAGATTTTTCCCTTCCCAAATTTTTTTAAAACCCCTTAAAATTTTTAAGAAAAAATTTCAAGTTTTTAAAATTAATTTATTTTTCTTTTAATTACCTAGCAGCTTTTTAAGGGAAGGTTAAATTTTCGAAAATTCTTTTTCATCCTTTTTTTTGTTATGTTTTTTAAATTTTTATGAAATTAAATGTTTTTTTTTTTTTTTTATAGCAAACGGCCCGGGCCCCCCAGGGGGTTTCAGAGCTAATTCTTTCTACACTTTGGAAATTCGTTGGGGTTTACAATGGGCCCAAATTTTCCAAAAAACCGTTTTAAAGCCCCAAAGAAATAGAAAACTTTAATTTGTTTCCCCTTTAAAACCCCAAATTCTTTGTATGGATATTTTTAAAATCTTCCATTTTTTAGCCTTTTAAATTTAAAATTAAGTTACCCAATTTTAAAATAATAAAACTTTAATTTTTGTAAAAACTTTTGAAAGCCCCCTTTAGAAAATTTTTCGCAAAAAATGCAAATTCGGGGCCGAAACGTTTTACCGCTGTCAAAAAAGAGTAGGAACAGCAATTATACTACAATAAAGGGTGTAACCTCTGAGTTCTAAGAAATTATTAGTAGGAAATAATATTTCTACATTATAACCAAAAACATTATATTAAAACAATCAAAAGTTTTTTCGTGACTCTAGGGAATAACTCGCGCGGCATTAATTTTAAAAGAAGAACTATTTTCGAGACTCATACCGCGTGGTTTAGCTGAATATTCAGCAGTTAATAATATATTAAAGATACAGTACAATGGTTTAGTATAAATATCTATTTTGAAAATGCATGTAAGAAGAGATTTTTTTCAACAACTTTACCGGGCCATTGTAGGGTCCCTTTCATGGTAAGGAAGTTTATTAATATCAAGTTCTACTTCCGATTCTTGGCGGGTTGTGTTACATAATTTTTTCTAGGTCCATGATATGAGTTTTAACCTGTTCACTATTTCTAAAAAATAGATTCTGCTTCACCTGTTCTGATTTTTTTGGACAGGCTATTAGTGAGGTATACATTAAACATGTAATAAACTAGCGGATTACATGCAATACTTTTTAGAAATTCTATACAATTGTAAGAAGCAAACAAGTTAAAAATGGAAATTTTAGTGTGAAATTGAAAAAGGACAACTAAACACTGTAGTGCTTAAGTGACATTTAAAATTAAAATAAAAACGGTGTGCTTCTGGCCTCTACATGTTTACGCTTGTAAATAAAAAAATCTAAAAAAATACACTATTAATTGCTGATGAATTTTAAACCAAAATTTTTTTTTAATGAGACATATCCCAGAGAAATAAAAATACAAATGACTTATATTTTATTGTCTATATGCCCACTATTGATATAACACGAAGCAATTCTAAATAGCATTCTCAAATGTATAATGTATTATGTTTGAAGTTTATTTGCCTTGGTTTTATTTTAGAAATATTTTCGTTGACAAATTTTTTTTTTATTTTTCAAAATCATTTTTTTGGAAAAAATCGAAAAAGGGGCAAATGATTTACAATTTTGGGCCCGAAATTTTTTTGGCATAAACATTCTGTAAATTTAAAATGTTTAAAAAGGGAAAAACTGAAAATTTTATTTAGTTTTGGGGGCACAAAATAATTGCTCTACAAAATTTGAACCCTTTTATGGAAAAATTTTCTTTTAAATATTTTGTGTTTTGTTTTTGTTTTGTTTTTTTCTAAAAGAAGCCTTAATGTCTCTCTGGTTGCATGTCCAACGCATTCAGTGCTGCAGCACTTTGATTATTGATACGAACAAATAAAACAACCATTTAGACTTATTCTGGTTATTATCAAACCCTTCAAATGCATGCTTGTGTCCAAGTTATAAATGTGTGTTCAATCATGGATTGTTTGTTTGTTGTGTTCGATATAAAATAAAAAAGGTTGTGTTACATTCGGCTTAAAAAAATTACTAGCAAATTACAATTAGTCATGTTATGACAGGTATATTGAGCAATGCTTAGGATCAACTATGCAAACAAATAGTATAATTATGTATTTAAGGAGCAGTTTTTTACTTCATGGAGAGAACAACACATTGGTTCCTTTGGCAAATATTTGTTTTGGCCTGATTTAAGGAAGGACTTGACGGGAAAGAGGAAAAATGAAGATAATTACAGCGGATCTGAAAACAATACAACGCAACATGTTATCATCATGACTAAGACAGGTAATGAAAATTTAAAATTGTTATTATACAGTTGGTTTTGTCATTCCTGTGTCCAATTGATGTACGCATTCCAACACATTAATTAAGTATTGTCATATTCACCTCCTTTTTGACAACCATTAAATGTAATGGAATCATCTGTCCGATCATCAGCTTACTTAGATTTAGAAATATGGAAGAAAATTTTAGAAAAACCAAGAGAGTCAAACATTGACTTCAAAGTCATGCTTCACGATTGTTAAAATTGATCCACAACTCCGTCATCAAGGACTATGTTCTGAAATAACATTGCAGACACGCTAGCAAACTTACAAAAAGTGTCAAAGTCATATTAACTTGTCATGATGTGTTAATGATACTGTACGGTAAATAGTAAATTTTTGTTTTACACAAATATGGAGTTTTAATAAGTAAGCAGACATGTTTCAAGTAAAGAAGCCCATTTCGGAAAGTTATTATATACCTAACATGATGAACAGAACAGAACAGATTATCTTGAATGCGTTGATATATGAATCAAGCGTTGCTTTTTATGCCCCCGAAGGGAGGCAAAATATAATCGCACCGTCTGTCTGACTGACTGACTGTCTGTCTGTCCGTCCGTCTGTGCGTCCCCACTTCATTCGTGTCCGGACGTTAACTTTGTCATACATTGAGGAATTTTGCAATAACTTGGCACAAATGTCTACCACAGCAAGACGATGTGTCGGGTCCAAAAACACGTCCCTACCTCAAAGGTCAAGGTCACACTATCATTTTGAAGTTTAACATTATCGCAATTAGAGTAAAAAGGTACACACATTCGTGTCTGGACTGTATTTTTGTCATGCATCGAATGATTTTAAAATAGCTAGGCATCAATTTCTACCACATCAAGACGATGTGTCGCATCCAAGAATTACGTCTCTACCTCAAAGGTCAAGGTCACACTTACATTTTGAAGTTTCACATAATCACAATTAGAATTAATAGGTACACACAATCGTGTCCGGGCTATAACTTTGTCATGCATCGAATGATTTTAAAATAACTGAGCATAAATTTCTACCACATCAAGACGACATGACGCGACAAAGACCCATGTCCCTACCTTCAAGGTCAAGGTCACACTTACAGTTTGAAGGTACTTATTCTCTGGAATACACATTCATGTCCGGACTGTAACTTTGTCATGCATGGAAGGATTTTAAAATAACTTGGCACAAATGTCTACCACATCAAGACATTGTGTCGCGGCTAAGGCTAATGCCCGTCTGTCCGTGTGTCCCCACGTACACAACAACCATGTCCAGACTGTAACTTTGTCATGCATTGAGGGAATTTAAAATAATTTGGCACAAATGTCAATCTCATAACAACATTTTGTCGCGTCTAGGAACCACGTCCCTTCTTCAAATGTTAAGGTCACACTTATATTTTGAAGGTTCATGCTATCACAATTAGAGATTACAAGTGCAATAATACAAAGAACAATATTAAGCAATTTCATTCTCTTTTCTTTTTATTATACCTGCTTGCTTAAGAAACCTTTTCGGGGGCATTCGTCACATGGGTGACAGCTCTTGTTTCTATTTTTTACATGAAAATATTTTTACATGAAAACATGTTAACAAGTTTTTTGCTAATGTTAGGTGAAAATTCTGAATGCATCAATACTATTAGATATCGTTCTATTGCAGAGGCAATGAAAGATAGTGGTAAACATAGCATTTTGGCTTCAGATAAAACAGCCAGTGACAGTATACACGATACGGAAGGTCTGTTCTTAAAAAGTTTTGATTTTTCATCAATATTTTATTATCATCTTTATATTATTTAGCTCCACACAGAGATGCATACCAGAATTTGTCGTCAGGAAATTTATTTTTCAGGGGTTTTTCATGACTTAAAAAATGTTAAAATTGCTAGAATACGTCGATTAATATTCCCTAACTTGAAATGCCAAAATTTCTTTAAAACTTTAAGATGTTTATTACCTTATGAAAATAGTACTGAATGTCAAGTAATTTGGCATTAAAGTAGGAAAATATTAACAAAGTAGTATTTTGACTTCTATACAAAATATTTGTAACTATAACTGAACTAAATGCCAAAAAAGCAACAGAAGCAAAAGATTATTCAAGAAATTGGCATTTACTTACATTTCGGAAACTATAAAAGAACATCAAAAATTAAAGCTTTTGAGAAATAACTATATACATGTATATAGCATCACTTGGCATGATGGCCATACCTTTGTTATAAATGGGCAAAATTGATGATTTAACAACACTTAGAATAAATAAAGAGGTATTGTTACAGTCATGGCAGCGTTGCCGTCATCATATTTTAAACCTTGATAATGACATTTCAGGTTGTGGGTGTATTGTCATCATACTTATCCACAACATTCTTAGGGACAAAACATTCTAGTAGATCAAGCTTAACTTTACCGTCATGCATGAATAACCTTGACATTGAGGGCCAAATGTCTAAATTTTGCTATATTTTTGCTCGTTTTTATAATAGTGGCTATGACTTTGTTATTTTTAAATGGATTGTCTTCTAACTTGAACACAATAATTTTAGGATAGACATTAAAGATAACCAAACAGACCTTGACCTTCATTTATAAATGCCTTGACATTGAAGGTCAAATTATTGAAATTTCTATTTTTCTTTTGCTATCATAGGCTATAACTTTATAATAAATGAATGAATATACTTCATACCGGAACATATTATTTCGATAAGACCTTCATGTGTACGAAACTCAAATTGAACTTTGGAGATTAGATTATTAAACTGTCACCGAGTTTCGCTATAATCGTCTGAAACTTGATAAATTGATTATCTTCATACTTAGACAAAAACAACCTTATAGACAATACCTTCTGAACTGACTTTGGCCTTGAGTTTTATATGACATTGACTGTCTAAATTGTATTTTGGTTGTCATTATTTTGTTATTTATGTACGGATTTGATTCATATGTTAACAAAACAAACAGACATGTTAAATTAATTAGATATATCTTTTGACATGTAAATGACCTTGAAAGTTAAGTTTAATTTTGCTTATATTTTCGTAACTTGTCAATCATTTGTGGAAATCATTCATACTTGGACAGAACAACAAGTGTAGCTAGACAGACATATTAAAATAAAACAGTAAAACTTAAATTATTTTCTATTGAAAGATTTGTTTTAACCCTTTTTTTGTTTGCTTTTAGATAAAGTGAAGAAGTCCGAGCATCGCATTGTTCCCGCCCTGCGGAGGCTCTTGTTAATTTATTATCATATTGTTTATACTTTAGGAAGCAATAATTAGCTGCTGTTGTATTGTAATATATCCATGTTTTCTATTTGTTATACTTTGTTCCTTTTTTTTAGAGTTTCGTGAGCTGGAACAAATGTTAAAGTGCAAGGTGTGTCTTGATGCAGATTTATGCACAGTTTTCTTACCGTGCCGCCATATGGCTGTCTGTGAGCGTTGTGCAGATGTCCTTGAGCATTGTCCAGTATGTCGGGCAACTATCGAAAATTCTATTGAACTAAATTTTGAGTAGTTATTTTCTGAAAAGTTTTTTATATCTGAACTGCGTATTGTTACAATACTTGGGACAACACATTAAAGAAGATGTTATTGAACTTAAAAATGATCTTTATTGGCTCTAGACACTCAAAGCCAAATGTGTGATTTTTGCTAAAATCAGCAATAACTTTATGTTTGTTGATTTGATTTATACTTGAGAAAAACATTACTTATTGAAAAAATACGATTTACTCGGAGAATTAAATCACGCAATTCTCATGGTGTCGTTTCCTTTGTTATTGCCATCCTCACACTTTAAAAGTGGTCATACTTTTTTTAATTTTTCAATGGATTATCTTCATTCTTAGACACAAGACGCTCTAGTAGATTGATCATGACTTTTATTCATAAATGATCTTGACCTTTCAAAAATCTCTTTTATTAAAAATTTTGCTTTGCGGTTATAGCTTTGTTTACTACATGTATGAACGGATTGTCTTCATACTCTAAACATTCATGTGGACAAACCTTAAAGTAACCTAAACTGACAGTAAACTTAAATTATCTATGACATTGACCTTGAAGATCAAACCAAACTTGACCTTGGCTAATGAATAACATGAATTCGAAGGTTAAATAATTGTTATTCATTTTTTTTGCTGAATATTTAAAAGAATAGCCTTGAACTTTGAATGTTATTGCCTATCATTGTCAACTTATATTTTTGGTTATTCATATAGATCTATACAAATATGGTTCATACTTGGACAGAAATATACTCCTGACCAAACCGACAATTTTAATTATTCAAATATGACTTTGTCCATCAATTGAACTTTGCTTAAATCATTACTTAGGACTTATGATAAAACCGACTTGTTAAATTATTGAAATATTGCGTCGGCCCTTAAATGGTCTTGACCATCAAATTCAATGTTTTACATAAATTGACATAAAATTGTTATTTACTTAAAAACGTTTTCAGTAGTTTCTTTTGTGCACATTTAAATACACGTCCATGAAAGATAATCACGGATAATTACTCGCCAAAAAGAAGGCAGTTGAATACTACTCTGATAACTGTTTGAATTTCGGCTATAAAAAGGCAAGATTTTAGCATGTTATCATTCAAGCCCCTTGTCCGATATATACCGGAATATGGTATTTAGTGTGGTGCTCCATTCCTTTTTTAGTCTCACTCCTATTTATCACAGTTATCGTGCCACTTTTGCAACTCCGCAAAAACTGTACAAACAAATAATGATTTATTAATACAGAATAAATAGTTCTTTATGTTCATGAGGGTCGATTAGATAACATCAGATAAACGATATCTCCTAGCGTTAGTATGACAACATTGATGATGATTCTACGCATGTTACCCCGCCCACTTGTGGAAGTGACGAAAGTGCGTCGCCACTTGATTACTAGCAGACAAGTGGGCAAAGAGGTTTGAAATGATATATCTAAAAAATGTTGAATAAAAAATGATCAAATTTTCTTTTTTTTCTCAATACTTGTTTACTGTTCTCGTATGTTAGTCGAATGAAGAAATAATATGGCCTTATACAACTTCTTTTAAAAACATGATTAGTATAACATCAAAAGAAATAGAAATTTATGTTTTGATGTATATATTCAAGTCATATATAACAATGCATTTGGTATAAAACTGGTATTTCTTAAGAAATAGTTGTTATTTTGACAGTTGGCTTATGCGGTTACCATGGAAACTGCCCGTTTACAAAAAAAACTAACACGTCAATATATATTTTTATTTCTATTTTTGATTTCACTATAAAATTTTCTTGATATATGAAAAATGTAAAAAATTCTGTGAAAGAAATTTTCCATATCTTATAATTATTAACAGGACTCGTGTTTAATTTTTCATTTTGTGCTCAGTTAAACAGCATGAAAACCTCATTTTTTAAAGAAATATGTTCAGATTATAGTTTGTTTCATACGGAATCCTTAGATAAAGCAAGTTTTGTTTAACATTATGCTTGTTGTGTGTTTATTAAGCTGTCTTATACATTTGATAAAACACAGTCTGGCTTTTTTGACAGTTTTGAGATATACGGTTAACATGGAAACTGCCTGCAATTTTACAAAAAAAATAAAACATCCAATATATTTTTCTTTTCATTTCTGAATTCGTCATTACTTTTTACTCATTATATAAAAAAATACAAAAACCTATGAAAGAATTTTTTATATCTTTAATTACTTACAGAATTCATGTTTATTGTTAAGTTAAGAAGCATGAAAAACTTTTTAAAGAAATACATGTATGTTCAGATTATCGTTTTCTATACAGATCACTTAGATAAAGCTAGTTTTGTATAAAAATAATGCTTGCTGTCTTATACTTTTTTATAACACAGTTTGGCTACTTCGGCAAATAAAATTGATTGTTGTTAAAATACCTTTTGCTAAACTAACATCTTAAGTTATGCATATTAATCTTTTACTGTCTCTACATTTGTTTATTTAGGCTACTGTGAGTGTCTTTAAGTATAATAAAAGATTTCAAATGTTTACCGTTTGTAAAATTGAAATATTTAAAAATATAGATAAATAATAAAAGTATTGTACATTAGAACATGGTATCTTGTATTTCCATGCAATGGCATGCAGTTTATAGAAACTATACATATGAGGTTAACATCTTTGTTGCCTACAATTAATTCAACTTAAGTAACTTGTTAACTAACTTGAGCTAGCTCAGGTTGACCTTTTAGGATCGCTGAATGTTCGTCGTCCGTCTACACTTGTTCGTTAACACTCTAGCGGTAAACTTTTTGACTCAATCATCATCAAACCTTGTCAGGATGCTTGTCTAGGTAATAGCTCGGATGAGTTCGAACATGGGTAATCTCTGATAAAAAAAACTAGGTCACAGGAGCTAAAAATAGAAAAACCTTGTTCACACTCTAGTAGTCACTTTTTTACTCAATTATCATCAAACTTTGTCAGGAAGCTTGTCTAGGTAATAGCTCGGATGAGTTCGAACATGGGTCATCTCGGATAAAAAGCCAAGTCACAGGAGCTAAAAATAGAAAACCCTTGTTAGCACTCCAGTAGTCACGTTTTGGACTTAATTGTCATCGAACTTGGTCAGGATGTTTGGTTTGGTAATTGATCGGATTGAGTTTGAACCTGGGTCATCTTGGATGAAAAACTAGGTTACAGGAGCTAAAAATAGAAAAATCTTGTTACACTCTAGTGGTTACTGTTTTGATCCAAATATCCTGGAAATTGATTTGAAAGTTTGTTTTGATGATTTCAAGGTCTGGGGTAAAAAAAATAGGTCACACTGCCAAAATATTGAAAAACATTTTTAACAGTCTAGATGTCACTTTTTTGACTCAATTGTCATCAAACTTTGTTAGAATGCTTGTCTCGAAATTGCTCGGATGTGTTCGAACATGGGTCATCTCGAATGAAAAACTAGGTCAGAGGAGCTAAAAATAGAAAAATTTTGTTAACACTCTAGTGGCTACTGTTTCGATTCAAATATGCTGGAAATTTGTATGAAAGGTGGAATATGGGTCACATGGAGTCAAAAACTAGGTCACGCGGCTCAAATATGGAAAATCCTTGTTAACACTCTAGTGGTCACATTTTTGACTCACCTGTCATGAACTTGGTCAGAATGCTTGCCTAGATAATTGCTCAGATGAGTTCGATGGGTTAGGTGAGCGATCTAGGGCCATCTTGACCCTCTTGTTATTTTACTGTGCGCAGCGGCCAATCTGAACTGGAGTAGAGCTTTATAATTTAAAATTTATCACATTAGCTCAGCTAATACATGGTTCCAGTTTTATGCATAAGTATGTCACAGGATATCAAAATAGGTCAACAATGAAATAATTAAATATTTTTCTAAAGACAATATTACATACACGTGTTTGGTATGTTGAAATTACCTTTTACTTCTCTACAAAAGTATCATAAATTATATACATTGTATATCTTTTCTAAAATTTGCCCATCATAGTGTTCTTCAGATTGAAATTAACTTATTAAAGGAAATACATTGAGTGAGACCTGATAGCCAATAGTTAAGTTATTTATATTTTTGCTTAGTGCACATCTACAAAAGTTAAATGATTCTTGCTTCTCTCGTTAAAAATAACAACATAGTTGGGTCAATATTGTTGCGTTGACTTTTTTTTAACCTTAATTAAAAAAGAATTTCTTCTGATTAGCAACTGCAATGTATAGCCTTTAGGTACTTTGGATGTGGTCTCCTTTTGATTTGCTCAAGAAACATCTATAAAGCATGCCACAAGGTCTAAATTTGCCCCGCCATTGAGTCATATAGTTTTTAGAGACTTATATCAGAAAACACATTGCAGATTGTGTGAAACTACATGTCTTAGAACTGTGATGTTTATCATGTAGCATTCTTAGTGGAACTTTACGAATGAAACCGTATTGACGCCTTTGAGTGAAAATGTCACATCTCTTGTATTGACTTATTTAGAAAACTTAACTAAATTTAAAAATCTGAGTGCAAAATATAGATTGCACAAAACTTAGATATACAAATTAACGCACTAAAACACATTTCTAACTCGTGTTAAATTGGCATTTCAGGCTCATCTGGGCTTGCTCATGGTAAGCTTGAAGATCGTTGAATGTCCTTTGTCTATTTTCCGTTTACATTTAGTTGTTTACAGTCTAATGGTCACCTCTTAGCCTCAATTGTCACATAATTTTGGTCAGGATGCTTGTTCCAATTGTAGCTCGGACTAGTTCGAATATGGGTCATCTCGAGTGAAAACCCAGGTTATTCATAGTTAACAATATTACGTGATCCTTGGCATAATATTAACCAGGTGAGCTATTATGACAGTGTGTCTGTCATCCGTCGTCTTCTTCTCAGAAACAAGAATGACTTGAGTTTAAATAGTTGGCATATAATAAAAATGGCCTCGCCCTTTGGGTAAAGCTACACTTAACAAAAGTTCTAACCGATCACTTTTTAAATTTTGATTTTTTTAGAACGGGTCAATAGATCCTTCTGAAATTTTGCAGAGGTGATTTTTGTGTCATTTTCTACCGATTTGTGGAAAGAAAAATAATTTAATACGGTTCCATGCACTCACGCGGGAGACAGGGCGTGATTTACGCATTTTGGCACGAAATGTTCGTGCAGGGCGTGGTGGGTATTAAATTTTACATTGCATAAATCCTTGTTAACTTTTTAAGTGAAAAAAACGTAAAACATGGCACGAATGTCGATGCAGGATCGTGCCGTAGCAGTTGGAATGTTGAATGCTGGAGCCTCTATCAGACAGGTGAGTGGCTGTTCATAAAAATATATTTTTTTTTAAATATTGATAAAGTATTATTTAAATAGAAAATGTTATAATTTCATTATTCTCAATGTGTTCATTCTCTTCGAAAAAAATAAAAGTCGGATCTAGTGGTATTATTCTTTTTCATATATAAGCAAAAACTCAGGGTGATCGGTTAGAACTTTTGTTCAGTGTATATTGTTGAATCATATATGATAAACAAGATCAAAAAGGAAAGACGGCGTTCATTGAACGCAAGCCCACACGACCCAGCAACAAGGACCAGTGGCTAGGAGCCAAGGAGTACCCTAAACAAAAATAGGACAGGGCACAAGGCAGAGCACGGACAGGATAATCACTTTAACAATATATAAAAGGAAATAATAGTAACTGACAAGAAAATAAAATTCAATTTAAAGGGCTTTAAGAACTGTCACCTTCTTGGTCCGTCAGATGTAATCAAAAGAGGAAAGTGTAACGTCCAACTGTAAAAGGGTTGAACACTAAGCATGCAGTATGACTTGAAATAGAAGGGTCAATTACCTCTTTATTAATCTAACGTTTAATATTTGTCGTTAAGACAGCCACCAAAGATCTTACGAAGTTTGTAAATACATCACCATAAAAACCAGTCCGGCTAATCCCTTGTTGTAAAAGTGATTTTAAATCACTATCAAATTTCGAAATTAAATTAACATTACGATTTTTAAATTTTGTGAAATTTTCCATAATTTATGATAGCTGTAGCCCTATTTAAGAAGCGTGTTAGTAATGTAAATGTTCCGCTCGTTAAAATCCTTTATGTTGCTACAACCTAATTAACGTTGCAAATCTAATTAACTGAGATACATATACCCCGTAAAATGTTGCATGGTGTAGGTCTCCATCAAATTGTTGATAATTCACTATACCAAAATCAAATTCATCTCTTTTATAATGGATTTTCGTGTGAAAAGAATTGTTGTAGACAGTAATATGAAGATCCAAAAATGATGTACTAAAATTTCAAGAATTCGTTCTGTTTAGTTGTAGTACTGGAGTCAATAATCCCGAAGGAATTGTAGAATTAAACAACACTGAAATAAAACACGGGACAACCTATAAATGCTTCAACACAACACTTTACAGCTGTTGTTGTTAGATAAGAGGAGACCTTCCGAGCGCAAGGAAAATATATTTAGATTAAGTTTAAGACAAATTGAAAATTCTCTCATGCAACCCAGCAAACACATTTGTTTGAATAGACAAATAATTAATGTGTCACTGTATTCTAGAGGACGCTACTAGTAATGCTTAACCCTAATTCCAAATATCGGATAAAGCGGGATCTAGTTATTGGTCCGACAATGTTTTAGTGGCCAAGGCCACAGCTACATCGACCTTTGATCTCCTGCCTTAAAATCAACAGAATCTATTTTCGAGTCATGCCACAGGAAATCTTAGAAGTGCATGCCAAAAAGTCCTCTAGATATTGGTTCAACAAACTTTTAGTGCTTAAAAGCCAAGGCGATCTTGACCATTGACCTACTGACCTAAAGGAATCAATATGTGTCACTCCTACTAAAGCTACGGATATAATGTCCCTGCCAACTTCAATGCCAAATTACATTATCAAAAAAATAGAGACAATCAGAATCCCTAAAGAACACCAAAACCCATAGAAACTCGGGAACGGTAGCGCAGATTAATGTGCATATTTTTGATCAGGTTACAGCTGTAAAAATGTTTCTTCTACATCTAAATATCTTTTCGTATTATGCAAGTGTACGGCCTCAAGGAATATACTATCAATTTAACACTATCTGTAACTTTTGTAGTTGACAAATTTTCATAATAAATTATTTTGATAATTGTGCTTATTTTTTTACAAACCATACTATCGGATGATATAAAAAGATATTCAATAGTCTGACAAACAATAATTAAAGCCGGTACAGGATCTGAAATATGCGCCGCAATATACGGTACCATTCCCTATTTCCTGGGCCAAACGAAAAAAAATGAAAATGTTGCAGGCTCGGTTTGATTGAGCCTGTTTGTTTGTTGTTTTCTTTCATGGACG